AAAAAAGTAGTGTATATAGCTGTCTTTTAGCATTATTTCTTTAATTATATGTGAACTTAACAGACAGCAAATAGGCAAGTATATCATACACATAACTAAAACAGGCTTACTAGCTAAATTCATGCACATAGAGCATTATGAGAGAGAACGTATAGCATCCAGCCGTGACATTTCTGAATCATTCTGAATCAGAAATGTAAATATACATATCAAATTTCTTTTCAGACAATCTTAGTTTCGTTTCAGGAAATAAAGACTAACAGAATCCTGAATTTCACAGTGATTTAAATTCATATTTGACGTATTTTGGATACTGTAACCATCTAAAATATTTCATGTTTTATATTGCAATGAGTAAAATCAAAATAACAATTTAGTTAACTCTTTTAGGTGTATTGGTAAGTCATATTATTGCTTCCCAGGCTTCGAAAGATCCAATTTTGACTGTCATAGACATGCTGAATACTGGGTCCACAAAATTCGTTACCCGTCCTTTATTTTCCAATTATTTGGCGTAGGCAAATGCTTCCAGTTATAAAAATGTTTTAAGTAATTCAAAGTTTCATGTTTAAAGATATAAATTTTATAAAAGTTCAGACGTCAAACTTTTTGTGTTTTTTTCTGGTCCTTATACTAATATTTATAAAAATGTTGTGCTCTGTGTAAAAAAAAAATAGCATAAAAATTTTGACTTCAGTACGACAAAAATTGGCAGGAATGTTTAATTTCAAAATCTACGATTTTTGACGTCATATTCAGTTTGCATTAAGTAGTCACTTAGTAAGGAAAGTCGAAAAATTCGAGATTCTTTTTTTTTTCCTCTTAAGTGCCACTCGATGCTTTTTCGTGATTTATTTATTTTAATTATTATAATTTGTAATTTCATTACATCTGGTACGCCGAAAAAATTTCCACATAAGTAATTTTATAAGTTTTCAAAGACTAGAAATGCATTATGAACATTTTCATGAAGTTTTATTACTTTAGAATCATAATCTGGCAATCGTACAAAAAAGTCCTTAATCTATTAAGTATTTTTCATTTTTTAATTAGTGCAAATAATATTAGTAGTTTGCTAAGAGTCAATACTAAAACCTGCCAGAGTTTCGGGCGTAATATAAAGTCTGAAAGCTTTCAGATTTTATATATATATATATTGCTGTTAAGATTAGCACATGTGAATTTTCACCAGTTTGGCTTAAAAACTCACATTTTTCACACATTCAAACTCACATTCAATTTCACACATATTAAATTATTAATCTCAAAATAATAATCAAAGTATTTTGAAAGAAATGTAAAAATTCTTGTTCCCTCTGCTAACAGCATTGCATATTTAAATTTATAAAGAACTTTACATTTTTGCAACTCAAATAATTAAAATTTTAGTGAGGTAATTCTGAACTGAAAACAGATAAGTTTGAAGAAAATCGGCTTCATAATACTTGCCTAAAATAAAGTTTGAATTCAGCTTTCCCTATGATTCTGTGACGTACTCAGTTATCCGTATACTCAGTCAACATGTCGCACGACTCAGTTGGTGAAATGGCTGCATTTCGTATTGAATACCACGTTCTGCGCTTGCTCAACAAAACAAAAAAAAAATGAGCAAACAGTTTGTTTAGCAGAGACCTATTGTCGTGTTTCAACAAATATTTCCATCAAAATTTAAAAATCACTTTTATGTAGAAAATATATCTATAGTGTGTAAAAGCAGTTTAAAAAATGTGCGCAGGTAAAATTTTGGGATGACCTCACCTATCTGAAAAAAAAATTAATGGCATTCTTGACGCTTTTCAACAAAATCGAATGAAATTAACAAGGAGAACGAATCTCAGTTTATATTCCGCAATTTGAAACATTATATGAAAGCTATTAAAATTCATTCAATACAAAGTGCAATTATTGCAGCACCTAAATTTGCTTGATGAGATCGAAAAAGAGGCTTTTTCGCTGCAGATGAAGTCATTTTGTTAACCGTGCTACATAATACACCGTGATCGCATACCTCGCACTGCGGGGGGGGGGGGGGAGATCACATATCTTATGCGTACATACTCCTTTCCAGTTTAGTCGTGAAATTTTTCACTGTGCTTTTTTCCTCTCTAAGTTATTAAAACTGTATTTATTATAACTTTTGTAATAAATCTGTATATTTATACAGAAAATAAATATATAAATCTCTAAATAGTGCACATGATATGTTTATTAAATTATGCATTATAAATACCGAGTCCAAAAAAAATGGCGCTTAGAAAAGCCATAGAGAAAAAATAATGGCAAATCCATACGTGTAAAGCTAATGAGAAGATAAATCATTATTAAACTACATGAATTCGAAGTGATTTAAAATTTTCTCAGTATGAAAGGTATACTATAAGTAATTAAAATTTATTAATTGAATAGATGTATAAAGAGTTTAATAAAGTGATCAACGTTCCTAAATCTCTCTTGCTGAATATCTGAAGCTACTTTTATATGACCCAGACTTTTTTTTAAATCTTTATAGTCTCTTAAGTATAGATTTAACATGCGATTTATTTGAACATTAAATAAATAAAAAATTATCAAAATAACGTTTGCGTAACTTTGTGCCATTCTACTTAAAAATCGAAATAATTTTAACGAAATATACTTTCAGACATTCTTCCTCTTACATGTGATTTTACGGTGCTATTGTTTTAACAGATCCCAGGCTTTTAAAGTTTCAAAGCTCTCTTTTTTATCACCTTTTTGTCAATGTTGTCAAATTTTTAAAACATTGTCTTTCATTCAATGAAAAACCTAAATTAAATAGAAATTCGTTAATAAATTCCTTCGGGCTGTACAAAAAAGCAATTAACATCGATTATAAACATTATTTTAGTTTTGGTTTTTAAAAATAAATATTAATACTAATTAGTGTTCATAAAAAACAGCACCTTGAAAATCAAGCACATAACTTAAGTTCGAATATTATGATTAACGTAGACTAGGGATAGTAGGAAAAAACATAAGTAGTTATTCTCTCTTCTTAAGTTCCCTGAAGGATTCTAATCTCCAGCGTTCATTATCTTATTTAATATAAATTCTTCATCATATGTACTTAACGACCGGAATAGTGAAAAATCTTCTAAAACTATTATTCTCTATTTCAAGTTAGAACTGGAGGTTTAGGGGGTATATCAACACTCCTCGGTGGGGCTGGTCTAGGAATTGTAAACTTCCATGGTAAGGAAGTAATTCCAGACGGTGGTATGAATCTATGTAAGTGCAGAGGAACATTTTCAGGCTTAATTTGAACACCTCTTGAATCAAATAAAGGATTGGCTGGTTTATTTATCTCATATACTCTTTGGTCTGAATTCTGTAAGTTAGAGGGCGTAGCAGAGACCATGTCATGGTATCGAACTCCCTCCTGCGAATCGCTTTCCTTTAAACTTTTTTGTAATTCTTCTTCCAAGATCTTCCTCCAATTTGAAGTATTTCCTGTGTTATTTTTTCGATTTGCTTCCCCTGCTTTCTCACTAGAATGCGATTCAAAGTAGTCCGTATCATCTAATATGAAAAATTCGGAATTCTTGAAATTACCATCTAAGGCTCGTGTACCGGCTTTATCATTACTGTTAAATTCATCAATGGGTATTTTTTCTGAAATATCCGAGTTCAAATTAATTTTTGGGATTGTTTGGTGATTTTCTCTTAAAATATCATCAGAAAATAATTCAGTGTTGATACGTTTATCATGTTTCAGTAAGGCTTGTATGATACTGCTTGAAGTACTTTGGCTGTTCTTAATTTCAGATGAATTACTTTTCTTTGCATTCAAAGGCCTAATTTGACTTCCTTCTGGATTTAACGTTTCAGGGTCTTCTGTTGAAACCTTTACTGACTTTTCGTTTGTTTTATAAGGCAATAATACAAAACCAATTAAGTTTAAATTCGCGAGCAGATTGATAGGTATTTTCTGAGGTTTATCGGAAGCCATGTTCAAGGACAGAAATAGCAGGTCCTTGTCGTTATTCAGAAAGCTATGCTTGTTCACATTTCCTCCAAGCGCCAAATGGTTTTCAGTGTCATGTGGGTTATATATTAGTCTTCTTCTGGACAAAATGTCAGTAAGTAAAAGAGAAGACATTACAGTGCTTTCCAGTATTTCTTCATTGCTTTGAAAATCAGGCATTTTATCTTCGGAAAATGTATTAAATACGTCTAATTTTTTTAATGAAGGAGCTAAACTCAATTCATCTTCATCAGGTATTAAAGATTTCTCATCACAAGGCAAACTTAAATCTGAAGGTTTCTGAAAATCCCTTGGATATCCTTTAGAGTCGGAAAAGGATTTATAGATATCAGACTGCAAAGGATATGAATTCGGTATTAAATGAGGTGGAAATGTTTCAATGGAAAGTGTTCGAAGAATCTCTGATAATTTTTTAATATTTGGGTTCGGACTCATACTATCCGCTGCGTCTTTCAAATTTTGAGCGCTATCAAGTATATCCTTTTGAGAAACATCAGCTGAGTTTTGTTGCACATAATTACTACTAAGAAAATTTGGTGGCTTGCATAAAACTCCACTGTTAACAGACCCACAGTCTGGCAAAGATTTATGAACTTTGTGTTGCGGCATACTAAGCAAAATATTTAATATTGGTGAATGAGTCGTAGATAAAGAAAAGGAACTCCCTAAACTGCTCCCTTTTCTGGAATTCAAGCCATATTCATGGCTATTATTGGAAGCTTTATTGTATGGTTCAGAATATTTTTCTTCGAAATTTTCGGGAATCCTTTTTACAGAATCCGGAAAGGAATTTCTATCCCCAGAAGGAAGAATTTGGTCTAACTCTTGTGGAAATCTCGATAACAGATTTGATTTTCTTTTATAATGAGATGGATCGTTATCTTTAATGTACGAATTAATTTCACCAGGAACTCCTAATCTTGAATTCCATCTTTTGCTTGAATACCTGTCATGCCGATATTGCATATGATAATAAGGATTATTATGTCTGTAATCATTAAATATTCTTAATTTCGATGGATCGTTTTCAATCTTTGGTGGCCGGTAGTATAAATCTTCCACTGAAACGGCGCCTCTGTTGAGCAGGAGCAAATGAATGGGGATGAGGATAATCTTGATTTTCTAAGCTTTGTGACTCAACTTTATTATAACCTTTTTGATGAGATAAAAATGGATTTCTCATGAAAGTTTTCTCATCTTGGATTGAAGGTCTTCTAGCAAAACGGTTGATGTTCACACTTGCTGGGTTCTGTTGACCTAGACCATGCTCGTTTGAAGTTACATGAGCACGAAATCCTTTATCATCAGCTATGTAATGAACTAGTCGGAAAGCTCCTTCAGGATTCTGGAATCCATAACTTCCTCGGACAACACCATTAGCATCTCTTTGTTCTTGTCTAAAATGATTGGATCTGTCGAGCGAATCTTCTACAGAATAACTGAACCTCATGGGCACCTAGGATAAAAATTGAAACAGTTTTAATTTTCTGTTAGACAATTCGTTAAAAAAACTATGAAAATCTTTCAAATCTCTATTTTTACTCTTCAAAAAAATTTATTTGATTAACTCTCGCTACGTTATATGAATACTTTTCTTGCATTACTTAATATAATTAATGCATTAGGGATTAAAGTAAAGGTTATTTTTTTTTTCAAATTTTGAAACTCTTATGCAAATTTTGAAAATTATTATTGGGTACAAAACCTTTTCGCTATCAAAAATGTTGATCTAACTTCCGTTGAATGTGAAAGAGAAAAAATAATCGATTCAATAAATTAATTCTCATTAATTTCGTTAATTTAAAGAACAAAATATTTCAAAAATCTGAGTGATACGTCTAGATGTTTATTTATTTATATAGTAGCAATTATTATTTTACCTTAGAATAAACTTCATTATTTAAAATGACAATTTTACAAAAATGACACTTTTTTAAGCAACATATTCTACATACACTTCACGTGAATTTCAGCTGCATGTAAGCATTACAGAGTATAGTCAGAAAATTTTTAGTACAGTTAAATGCTATCAGCTGTTGCCAGTGACAAAGCGGTCTTAAGATACCCTGATGTGGAAATTTCAGTTTGCAGACCCAGCTTAAAAATGGAAGACTAAGGCAGGAGGAAAGATTTACGATGCTTTATAAAGTTAAATCCATGTATGTATTACTACTAACACATAGTAGAAAGCTATTTATATACAATGAAAATCAACAGCTCATTTCAAATGCATAAAAAAATTCTCATACTGATGTTTAAGTTTACATGTAACCCAAACATCAATATCTGAAATCCTTCATCAATGCATAATATGATTTGCACTTATTTGTTCACTTCTTGAAGCTAATATTCTCGAAAACGAAAGTGATTCATCCCAACATAAAAACAAAATCTTCACAAGAAAACTGGAACTGCATCAGAAAAAGATTTTGCTGTACGTGTGGTGGAACTGAGGAAGATATGATTTAATTTAAACTGTTAGAAATAACCAAAATGTCAATTCAAACATTTGCTGTTATCAGTTAGATGTTTTCAAACAAGTTTTTACCACCATGCGACTTCTATTCTCTATAAATATAATTCAGTTCTTCAGCAGGATAATGCTAGTTAAAACAAGGCAAGAATGACTTGAGAAAAGCTTAATAATAGGACATTATTATTCATTCATTTAAGAAACCAGCATACCCTCCGTTCAGAGATTGCCATTTAAGGTCACTGTAGCATTTATCTGTGGGTAAAAACCTTGTGAGTTAAGCATGAGATTGAAAATATTATAAATGAATATTTTGGGTGAAATCAAAATAATTCTTCCAAAAGGGTGTAGAAAAGGTACCTGAATGATGAGCAGTAATCATATAAAATGATGGATTTTATATAAAAAATTAAATTTATACAGCCACAGTTTTTGCATATTTGAAGCTGTGCATCTCATTCCTGCTTTATTTTTGATCATCATGATAATATAAGCCCTATTTACCAAACTTTGGTATTTTGTGTCATATCCAGATTTCTCGGATTTTTCATCAAAATATTAATAATAGGCCTTTTTCCTCATTTGTTCTTCAGTATGACAGCGGATCTTGCATTAAATTAAATTTTTGTTTAATTTTAGAATACTATAACATTTTACTTCTTAATCTCTTGTCTAACATTTAGCAGTAATCAACAGTAAATACTTCTGTAAAAATTATGAATTTTCAAATTATGAAATTATGAATTAAGAGCATTGCGCATGAAAGTGTTCAGAAAGAAGTGAACCTTAATATTTAATAACTGTAGCATCCAAATGACATCCAACATATTGGTAAGCCATAAAGGATTCAGTTTGCAATAACTACATTAAGCATCGTTGCTAAATGTGGCGTCTGTCTCCACAGCGTTTCATTTCGTTGTGAGACATTTTTCTTTTTATGTGTAGGCAACTGCAAGTCACCATAATTTTCGGTGAATGGATCGGTAATTTCGAGTGAAATTGTAGCGTTTTTCGTTAACACTTCGAAAGATCAACGTTCGGTGTTACATCAAATATGATTGTAAAATTGGACTATTTTCCCCATCAGTGGGCAATTACAGGTGCAACATACTTGGATACGGTAGAAGTTTTCGTGTTTTCTAATACTTATATTCAAGTCCAGGATTATATTCAAGTGTCAGAAAAGACACCATGTGTGAAGGACTTGTCCGCATAGAACACCTATGGGGAAACCATAGAAGAACAACCATAGAAGAAATTTCTGCTGATATGTTTTAGGGTCTCAGGTGAATATCGCTTTACACTCTGCCAGACTAATGCAAGCATTGATTTATATTAACAGATAATAAAATTTGTAACTTTGTGCTTTTGTGGGCCGTGCATTTCTACTTTAGAAATGCCATAAAAATGTTCCATTGAAAATGTTTTCTAACATCATGTACTAAATAGCAATTTTTAATATTCGCTTAAATTCGACTTTTTATATTGAAAGACTTAAAAATAATACAAAAATATTATTAATTTTGCGATTTTAAGAGTTGTATCAGTGGTATGAGACCTAACAATTTAAATTTTAACTTTGAGAATACTCCCCTCCCCAATTACTTATTCTTCTATTCATTATCTTGGTTTTTTAAAAAATTATCTTTCTTTTTATTTCTCTTATCTTCAAATTATTTTTAAAGATATATTCAATTTTTAATATATATATATAAGTTCTTACTTCCTTGGTCCTAGTATCTTCAGCTGCTTTATCTGCGCCTTTTACTTGATGAGCTTGTTCTGCTTTTCCTGTCAGGAAAATGGTTTGTATTCCAATTATCATCAGAAAATATCGAAATCGACATATCTGAAACAAAGAACACAAGATATACTTTCAAAATACATGAAGGTTTTTCTTCTCACAAAAAAGTGCGTTTTGTAACATGCTTCAATTCATAAACATGAACAATGAAACTTTGGCCCCTTACAAGCTTAAGTTGTGCACATGGAACGTGCTAATGAGTTTTGCTTTCTTTTGACAACACATTTATTGATGAACTGTTTTAAAAATATGTTATTTATTCTATGGCATAAATTTACTACTTTTACGGTATTAAATTTGTTACGAAATTTAAGCAGATGTATCATATAAAATAAAAACAAATAAAATAAATTGATCGATGTAGTGATTTATTGAAACTACGACTTTTGCTCTTGGTAGCAATTACAAAAAATATCTCCCTTACAAAAACTTAACATTACATGGTTGGAATGATGGTTAACACATTGAATGTCTCCCAGACGATGAAATACATTCCATAAAACACCTAGGCATGCTGAGTATCAAATTATCCCTTTGATCTTGTGGAAGATTACTTCACTCGGCAAGCAATGCTCTCCGAAGTTCCGATCACACGTAGGAGATGGTTGAAGGGCTGCAATTCGGGTAGCAAGCATGTAGCTCATATGTTCTATCGGATTCAAGTCAGATGAAAGTTCTGGCCATTCCATACGTGTGATATCCTCAGATTGCAGGCATTCCTTTACAATGTTCGCACGGTAAGGACGGATGTTGCCATCCATAACACAAATTCTGCGCCCATGGCACCCCTTAACAAACATACATGTTGTTCTAGAATGACGTCCCGATAAATCTGACCTGTCATGATTCCGATCTGAACATGCAGATCTGTTCGGGAGCTTTGTATAATTCTAGCCCAAACAAGCAATTCTGCACCATCGAAACGCTGTCGTTCAATGACTTGGTGGTAGCGGGTACCTGGAGTTCTCCATATGTCCGACGTGAATCAGACTGCAAGCTAAACCTGGATTCGTCGGAAAGCATCAGACAAGTGTGATGATGTTCACATTGCATGTTCTCTACTCCAGGCTAACCGCTGGAGACAGTGAGTTGCCGTGAGCTGAACTCATCTGACAGGCCTGCGAGTATATAGACCAATCTGTCTCAAACGTATGTACACAGTTTGCCTTGAAAATGTAGTACCCGTGGCTGAACATAGCTGACAAGACAGGTCTGATGCTATATTCCATCTGCTTCTTTTGGCAGTTACTGCCAATTAACGGTCGTCAGTCGGCGTTGTAACTCGGGGAAAGGGCGACCTGTACTGTAACGTCTACTGATATTTCCATCATTTTGGAATCATAGCCAAAGCCTCTAGATGACACTTTGGGCTATTTCAAGTTCCTCGGATACATCCATCAGAATACGCCCACATTCCAGGCGGCCGATAATTCTACCACGTAAAAAATCATCCACATGCGTTCTCTGTGTTATAACTATTCGGTTGTGGCACTGAGCGGCTTAAAGAACGCTTGTGAACAATTTTACTTCTTCCGTGTGATTCTGAATTATCCTTAATTTATGGCCATGAGTGTATTATAAAATTTTCATAACATACGAATCTGTTACGTAATAAAAATAATATCATGATGACTTTTAAAGTGATTATTATAAGTAAATATTAATTTTTGTGATAATAATCAACAATGTTCAAGTTACTTTTTATCCATGTTACTTAAATTGTTTTCAGATGTATGGAAATAACTTGCAGCCGAAATGTGTTCGCTATTTGTTTTTATTCAGATAGATGATAAAGCAACTAAATAGAAAAAAAATCACTAGGAGAACGTTCCTTCTAATTTTTTCACAGCTACGCGATGCAGAATCTAGTTGAATGTTGCATAATTTGGATAACTATAATTATATTTCAGTTAAGAGTAGCATAATTTGGATAACTATAATTATATTTCAGTTGAGTGTAGCATAATTTGGATTATATATAATATTATAATTATGCATTTATAATTGTATTTATTTAATGAATCTCTCAGTCCAATGTGTGTGTTTTATTATTTTAGTTAAGTTACATAAGTGCTTTTATTCCTGCGCACATTAATGTGTATAAGAGTAACTTCACAAAAATAAATACACTGTCGCGAGTTTAAGCATATTAGAGAAAATAATTAGCGAGAATATTAGCTAACATCATAAGCTTGGTTAGTTGCATGATTACTTGACTGTGCCGAAGTATGTGAGAATTGACGGCCTCAGGAAAATTGTTTTTGAGGATGCTAAAAGAAACTGTCTCATGTTCACGCTGTACATGAGGTAACCTTTGGAAGCTAGTCCTGAAGCATACAGCCCGAATATGGCCATATGCTTTAGAACGGATGCCTAGGGAAAACTGACTCGCATATATGTATCACATGGGGGATAACATAAAAACTCCACACAACCAAACTGCTTAGTTGACGAGAACAGAAACCACCCTCAATTCGCAGTGATCTTCTCTACTCTGTCAATGACATAAGAATATTTTCCTCAGTCAGAGAATCATGCCCTTATGTAAACGTTCACTCTGATCTTCACATTTTATTTATTTTAATACACGAAACAATTTAAAGATAAATAGCTACAATAGACACCAAAATTTAAAAATTAATAGTCAGAAATTCATGGTAGAAAACATAAAATTATACATTTAAAACAAGCTTTTCCAAACGATGATCCTAAATGGTAGGTCTTATTGAACACAGAAAAGGCTTATGACTAAAGCATTATTTATGTGTCTGGGGGAGTATATAAGGTATTTTCTCCTTCCTTCCAGCATGCTTTCGTGGTGTAAGGTAGCACACTCCGCTCGTATTCGAGAGGTCAAGGTTCGAGCCCTGGAGAGGGCATAGCACATTTTTCACATCTCCTGCATAAAAATCCTAATGACTCTACAAGGTTTCGAAGAAAAATTGGGTTGCTACTTCTGTGTGCAGTGTCGTTATTTCTCACATTGTAAGCCACCCTGGCGCTGCTACAGAATCAAGGAAGGGAGGAGCAACACTAGTCGATGTGCTGTACAGTCCGTGTTGCTGCATATGTCGTCGCAGTGTTCTTGGGACACTTGTCGTGCTACACACGAGCCAAGTTCCTGACTTAGTACTAACGCGGCTGTAAGATACCACAAGGCCGAGAGGGCAAAATATGTATCCTTTCAAGCATTAGTGGCCTAGGGACGCTGAGATTCTGCTCGCCGTTCAATATGGTACTTTAGGGCTCATCTTTACCATGCTCGCCTAACAGCCATCGGATCCCAACCTATAAGAGCAGCTGTGTGGGAGAACCATAAACCGTAGTTCCGGTAGGCCAAGATCCTTCTCAAACGTAATGCTTCTCCTTCTTACACGAGGCATAAAACGATTTTAGAGAAACAGCCAACGTTCAGATGCCATTTCCAAATGACAAACCGGCTGTACAATCTTCTCATTTATGCATAATGTAAATGCTGTTTCTCTTACCTCTTTTGAGCGCTTGCGCTGGAATGCTAATACTTTGCATTTCACAACATGTACTACTTCTCACGCAAATGTGTCGTTTATTGCCTGTCACCTTCATGGCGTAACAGTTTTAATGGTCAGTAGTACTCGTATATGTCGTTTCTAAATGAGGACAGTGCCTGGACTAATTCACTAAGTTTGTTTCTAAAAGTGTAACCTTCTGTTCTAATGTAATTTTTCGTGTGTTTAGTAAAATATTGTTAAGTTTATAAAGTGTATTATTGTAAAGCTTATGTTTCATAAAGCTTCGTAAAGCATTTTGTGTATTTCGCCATCTACAACTATGTAATAAAATGTAATGTCCTGAACCAGAACGTCAACAGTGTCTAGCAAGGTTATTTACATAACAATATACAGAAATGTTGTGTACTTCTGGTTTTAGGTATGAGGGTATGCAGGATGATAACTACTGTTAGAATAATGTATCCTCATGCTCCCATCAGCTATCAACTATATCGACACAAAATGCCAGTTTTGAATAAATATGCTTCCACAAACAGTATATATATATATATATATATATTAAAAAGTGATTAATTGCAGTATATCTTAATCAAGAACGAAGGAATTTTCATGTGTGAAATGTATGTAATGACAACAGAAACTTACATCCGCAGACACATCCAAAAGTAAATCTGTTCAGCAAAAGAAGTATTTCAGTACACGTATTGGATTTAAATCTAACGATTTCTGTACTCTTCTACTCGAATACTTAAGAAATTCCAATCTTGGATTTACAAATGCTATCGGAGCCTTTACTTCTGGAATAACTTCATTCTTTAATCTAAATGATATAAAATTATAAAAAATTAGGAAAAATTAACACAGAAATATAAAATGTCTAGATGCATTTGCTTTCCAACAGCAAAATAGCTGAACATAATTAGTTCCCCCTGGTCTTGTTCGCAGCGGATGGGCTGACAACATGAGATTTCCGTTGTTTTTCCGAGCATAAATTTTCCCTTGTGTATGAGTCAGTTTCCTTCAAAAATTCCTCTAAGCATCCCTCCTATAACAGATAGTCTTAGTATATTCTACCGTAATCAATAGGTAATTGATCCTGGATATATAGCCACATGCGGTAGCGTAATAAAATCGTTGAGAATTGGTAATGCGAACCCGAACGAAAGTTACGGCTGTATGGGAGTTTTTATTGTTTTCTGTATATGCGTCCAGTATCCTTTAAAATGTCTTCCGCGAATGCACACCTCCCTTAGGCAGATATCCTTCTATGCATCGCAAAAATAAAAATAATAGTAGTAATAATGTTGCATAGGTGAAATTTAAGAGAAATGTTGGTGTTTTCAAATCTTAGAACATGATCAAAAAATTCGCAAAAATGATTGGTGACACTCGCGTCACAAAAAAAGAAAGAATGAATGAAAAAAAGAAAATCAAATCTGAAAGGTTTCAGATTTTAAATTATTGCGTTCAAAGGGGCCACTTTTTTTAATATTTTGTGTGCTACCTTTATTTATTAAATATTCTTCGCACTTTATTAAATATTCCCGATATAAG